GAACCAAGATGCATTATATAAAGGTACGATTCCCAATGAGAAATGTAATTGTGTTGTATACCTACAATATACCAATAAAAGAATTTAATAAGTAAAAACAAAACAAAACAACAACAAAAAGAACCACACATAGTATTTTATTTAGCATGACAATCATGATGACATTATCTTTATAACACTTACATGTCCATCTTAGTATGGAATAGTCTTTTAGTCAAATACCTCCATCTGATCACAAGACATTAAATGACATAAAGAAAACTCTTATTTGTTATCATTCAATGGGATGCCATTTAAAGAAAACATACATATTAGCCTATAAATGTACCTTAGAAGTTCATAATGTCTAGCCTCTAATTTTAGTGTAACCTTGTTTGGACTGTTTGGCATCTGAGCTAAAAGTGTGGTGACACATATAACATATACATCACATAAATTCTTGAGAGAAACTATTTGACTGGTTATCTCATGCAGGCTTGACATGTATCTCTTATCACAAGTAGTTGGAGCATAAGAAAAAGGCAGATTCCTGAATCAAAAAAAAGATCATTACCATAAACATTATCGTAGAAGATTTGTACACCCAGAATGCATGAATGGTATTTAGTACACCATGAAATGACACTGAGTATCATAGTTATATGAGACCCTTTGTCCCTAAATTTAGTTTCGTATCAAGAGCATTTATATTAAAACCTTGTTTTCCCACAGAAAACTTGGCCATTTGACCATGACTAATGTATATATATCACAATAATGTTTAGAATGTATTTCCCAAAAGGATATGGAAATTGTTGGGGTTTCCTTTGTGAACAAAGGCTGGAACAAAATTTTCTAGGCTCCTGTATTTACCAAAGAGAGTCTTGGCTAGTAGTTTTCCTAACAATTAACACATTATTTAATCAGTGAATGATTCCCGAGTTATTATACACCGACAACAATATGTACTGTATTTGTAAAACCAGTCTTGACATCATTTTGATCATTGGGCAACATAAGGGAAGCATATCTTTAATGACACTTATCTATAAGCCAACTTAAGTTACAGGCAAATGTCCTTTAAAAAAATCCAAAAGGGGAAAAAAAGTCATTGAGCTCAAAGAAAAGTGCTGTATGTGTTGTAACAAATTGAATAGCCAGACAGACAAACACGCACGTAAAATGACTTGTTTATAATCCAGAGTGCACTCTGATGTATTTGGCCAAGTTGAATTATAATAACCCTTTTGTAATTTTTAGGTTTGTAAGTATAAATGGAACTTTTATAGGTCAATTAGAGAGACCTCTGGCTTGGTCTATTGCAAACTCCTGCTATTACACGTTAAAATAAAGGTATTAAGTATTGAGAAACAAGAATGAGCAAGTTATCTAACATCACATGGGGTGAGATAGTAAGTACCCAGCACAGAACCCAAAATACCCAAGTAGATGGTCCCTAAGCTCCATTAATAACACTTTGTTTTAATTCCTTAACCAGTTTGAAGTCAAACACCTGGTGTTCAGGAATAAATTGATTTTCATTGTTTAGATGGCCTGTTACTGGGAAGCAACAAGGCCCATGAACATCCCCATGCATAGCTGCTTCCTTAACTATCTGTTGATGTTTAGACATACAAGGTGCAGAGTGTTTCATATTTAAGTAGCCTGGTGGTGTAGGCAAAAGAGTCCCTTTATAAGCCTCATCTGATTCTGGATCTTTCCCAGGATCCAGAAGGTTAGGTGACTTTTCTTCCTTAGTACATTTTTCTTCCTCATCCTGACTGAGGACAGGAGCCTTGGGAGGGGTAGTGTTTACAGGACCCAAAACTGATTTTACTAGGCCCCAAGCTGAAAAGGTTTTAGGAGAGATAGGCTCTCCTCTGCTGTGATCTTTTTTTAAATTCTTACCAATCATATTCCAATTTTCTAAATGTAAGCTTCCTGCCTTTGTGAACTTCATCTCATGCACCATTCTGGTTAAAGTGCCAGCACTAACTTGAGCTCCAGCCTGTTTAAGCAGCTTATGCAAGAGTTGGATGTAATTCTGCTGCTCTAGACTGATTCTTCCCCATTATCCCAGCTACAGAAACTTTCCACATGGCACTAAGTGCTTTAAGTCTTCTAAGATCACCCATGGAGTCCGCTTACCACCTAACATATCATGCATCCTTTCCTTCACTTGAGTGGAACTTCCCTCTCAGGCCTGCTTGCTCCCATGTTGGGGACCAAATATTGAAGGTGGATCAGTCTTCTGACTGTGTCTGACCAGTAATCTCAGTGGGATCTCCAAAATGATATAGGGGGAGTACATGTAGCTCCCAAACCTGCTAGATATTCAAAATTTGAGTTTGTGTTCTCTAAAATTGAAGAATTCTAGGAACAATGGAGGTTAAGAGTAGGAAAAATTTGAGAGAAAGATAGATTCTGTCTAAGGGGGAGAGAAAGGGAACCAGAAAATGGGTTGCCCATTTATGTAATAAATTTATACTTACTTTTGATTTGTAAATTATTTATATTTCACTTCAAAAATGTAAGAAACATTTATATTTAATAAATACATGATGAATGAATGTCAGCTCTTTGAGAAGGATTTGAGAAGTAAAACTGCTAGATTAGTTGAATTTTATTTCTATAAATATTTTAAAACATTACATTTTCTTTATTTCTGCTTTATAATTTTCATTCAGATATTTATCCACCCTTTTTCCTCCTCAGTGGACCAAGTCAATCCACCATGTGGCTGTTGTGTGCTTTGGCCAGATACTTCAGAGGTCTGGTTCCCCTGTCATAATCTTGAATTTAGTGAAGGTATGATGTGCTCATCAAACACACTAGCAAGCCCTTTTCTGAGAACACAGACATGTAACAAGCAGTTACACTTACCTTTCTATAAGTGAAACTTGTAGATCATCATGCTGTGACAACTCACTGTGTCTGAGTCATCTGCACTACTGTATTTGGCCTTGGGTTCCATGTGGCCTCTTCCTTATGTACCTGGAAGAATCAATAGTAATTTCTGAGGGAAAAGAGTGATTCGGTATATCAAGCTCTTGATTTTCTTGTGTGAGTTAGGTGTATGAAAGGTTTCTGCCTTAGTTTCCAGGACAACACGGAGAAGGAAGCTTGAAGATCAAACTGTCACAGTCTTGCCTTCATATAGCCATCTCCTTTGACAATCTGTAAGAATGAATCCATGAAGAAATTAATATGCAGTAATAGAATCAAAAGGCTAGGTTCAGAAGTTGGAATTCTTTTGTGACTCCACAATTGTGGGAGAAACTCAGAAAAGGTGTTATCCTTTGCCTCATAGTTTTCTGCTTCCTTGTTAGAGTACCCTGACTGGTCAACATATCTAGTGTTCATGAGTGGCATACAAGTCACAGGCCTAGGACTTTGTCTGCATTGATTGCAGTCAAGTGAATTGAAAGAATCTCAGCCAGCAGCCAAGAAGACCCTGAGACTATGAAAAACAAAAACTTTGTTATGTTATGGTTGTAGGAGTAGCTGACAACACGGTGATATCTAAGGTTATTCTTAGAGGTTTGTTAATAAATATAAGTCAATTCAATAAAAAAAGCCTGTGTCATCTGCTGAGAGTGGAGGTTGAAAGATAGTGGAGAAGGTTTAACAGTCTCATGTACACGAGAGTAGAAGTTGTCTAGAAACATCCAGGCAGTACTAAAAGCCAATTTCAAAGTGGTTATTATGATTTCTTCACTGTTACCATTCTGCTCTTACCTCCCTTTTCCAGCGGGGCTTGTGTGTGGGTATAAGCACAGATAAAAGAGTTACTTAATTAGGCCCATTTGTTTTTTCCTGACAGGTATGACCTAAAAAGGCAGGATCAAAGGCATTTTGGACATTGGCAATAGCATGATTGAAGTGGGCCATGAAAGCTGAACTGGTAAGGAGGTGTGTAAAGGAAGGGGCTGCTGGAAAGTAGAACTGTCAGTGGATCGAGGTCCTTGTGAAGTGGGGGCACTTAAAGCAAAAGCAATCTGCAAATAAAAGAGGTTCTAGACAAATGTTGAAGATAGAGCAGTTCCCTGTGATGATGACCTGATCCATGAAGGTGGGAATAGGGATTAACAAATGTGACCATTAATCATAATTTGTCTACTCCATTGGATTAAGAAATGCATATCAGATTTTATGCACACCCTTCATGTATCTGAGTGGGTCCTACAGGTGTGACCTTGGTTACTGTAGATGGTCCCTCACTCATTCCTCTCTAGCACTGTTCTGTTTCTTGACTGCCATGAACCTAGCAGCTTTGGTCCACTGTGCCCTTCTGCCATGATGTTTCTGCCTTGGAGCCAGCCAACCATAGACTGAAACCATGAGCCAAATTAAACCTCCCCACCTTTAAGTTGTGGTGTTAGGTTTTGTGTCCAGAAACAGGAAATCTGACTGATACAGCTAGAGTACAACAGAAGCTAGAGGTGCTTGAAGTCATCCAGGATGGAGAGAAATCTTGGGAAAGTAAGATAACAGTTCCCATGTAGACTGTGCAGTATAACTTAGTGCATAGGCTCAAAGGAACTCTGTGTGTGTGTGTGTGTGTGTGTGTGTGTGTGTGTGT